CAAAGGAGGAGGGGACATTTTGCTTATAAGCCACCGGTCAAGCCCATACTTAATCGATGTGGGATCATTACAGTACTCCATGCTTCAAAGAGTCAACGTCCTTGTTGGTCATGGTTGGCACCCCTAGGGCCCACGCCACCACTCCATAAGCCACTAGTACTCCTAGTGCCGAGAATAGGAAGATGGGGACAACTCTGATACCAATTGTGACGAACCTAGCTCATACTAGACCCAAACCAATACCATAAGCCCAAATGTAGAACTTACTCCTAAAAGATCAGGCGATTAGGAGGAGGGAACATCTAGCTTATAAGTCACCGGTCAAGCCCATACTTGACCGCCGGTGTGGGATCCTTACAACTTCCAATTTAATATTGTTACCACATTATTTATTACTATGCACAAATTAGTACTAGGTATTAATATTTTTATATCTATATTATGGTATATTTGTTCTTATTCGAGTTTAAATAGTAAATACCGTTATATTTAATATTTATTTAATATAAATTTACTATTAGTATAACCAATGTTGATGAAGTGAATGTACGTAGTCACTACTGAAATATTATGGTCATCACTATATTAAAGGTCAATACTTTTATCTATATTTTAGCATCATATTTCTATATTCCTCACATTCATATAATTTTGTATCATGGACTTACTGGAATTTATTATTGATATAGAAAATCTCTAAGACAAGATATATTGCAAAAAGATTATTAACTTTGCCACTACAAAAACCACCACTATAAAACTTGTATATGTGCATTACCAATTAAGTTTTTATAATTTTGTATGAGAATTTATAATAGTAATATCTTTTTCATTATTTTTACAATATAGTGCATCTATTAGCATTTATGTGTTGTCTCCACTTATGCTTTGTTTTGATTTTAAAATATCATTGAATGCAAATAATATCTTAAGTTTGTGTTAGGAATATTTGAATCTACTCCGGAATATCATTATAGGGAAAATTTCCAATATACATCTGAAGTATATGTGGGGTACAGTTTACCTCTGAAATTCAAAGTGAAAAAATATCCTTAATGTTCTTATAAAAGAGAAAGTTACCCTTATTGATTTTAAATAAATAAAATAAATTTTAAAATAAACAAAAATAACCTATAAATTTAAAAATAATAATAAAATAAAAATCTACTTGTGTCCAATCACTTCTTTTAACATTTTAATATAAAATTTAATATTCTTAGTATAAAAAAATTGTTTCAAAACTTTACTATATTTTATGATTCATACAGTAAAGCGTTAACATATGTGTTGCATTGTAAAAATAATAATTAAGATTTATTTTTATTTGCACTATAAAATTACATATTTTGTATGATGATAAATAGTCTAAAATTACAAAATAGTGAATTTTATTTTATTTAGTTTAAAAAAAAGCAACGAATGTTATTTCAAAAAAATGTAACAATTTGTTTGAAATTCTCAACAAGACTAAAATTAATATTTATGAATTTGAAGTGCTTCATTTACAAGACAAATATAATAACTTTGCAATTTAAAATTATAATTTATTTTAAATTTGAAATTTAAAATAATTTATTTTAAACTTTTGAAATTTAATTTTTTTAAAGTCAATAATGGTAAATTTTCTTCTTTATATAAAATTTAGGGTATTTCATTTTATTTAAAAAGAAATTTGGTCCTTTATATTTTAACACATTCACATATTTTTCAGAGGTAAATTTACACATTTCCCTCCTTTTACTTCGTATAACTTAAAAAATCAGTTGAAACACTAAAAGAACTAAATACTACCCCCGTTCCAATAAATTCTTTCAAGTCAAACTTGGCTCGCACATTTAGAAAATGAGAATAAAGTGGAAATGTATGATTGTAATTGTGTAAGAAAAAGTTGAATGAATGTGAAGCACATATTTTTTCCAAAAGTGAAAGTTGGAAGAATTTTTTAGGACGACCCAAAAAGAAAAGTTGGAAAAAGAAAAGTTGGAAGAATTTAATGGGACGGAGAAAGTAATGTTTTGAAATTCTTGAAAAGATGTTTTGGCAATATTATATTGTTAAATTGTTAAATAAGGGACTCAATACCGGATAAAAACTTTTTCTTACCAAAAACGTAGTAATACTTGCATTCAATCCAGTCTAAACAAATGTTTTTCAAACAAAACTGAAAGGTTGACTTCTCACTTTTTAGCAAAAAAAGGTCCAACGAAGTAACGAACCGTCCGTGTCTAGACGAAAAAGTCCAACCTCACATTCCCCTCGTGAACTACTCGAACTGTTTGTTCAAAATACTTCGTAGTGTTCAAAACTTGTTCAAACTTGAGGTCGTAAGATTACTGTAATCATATTTTGTTTCATTATGAAATTACGTTGAATTTCATGATTACTGTTTGACAAAGTTGTGGTTTGGAATTCAGCTTCTATTTCATTTTTGAAAACAGATAATACAAAATAAAAATGAGTTTTTTTTAGATATTGGTTCTGCTCAAGCTCTAAAAAATTGCTTCTAGGACCAATTGAAACATCCAGAAATACTTCTGCATTTTCACCTAAATACTCTTTTATTTGCTTCTGTCTTAATTCTGATTTTAAAAAGCATATACTACGTACTTTTGAATAGAAACAGTTTTCTAAATTAGATCCAAATACTCCCTTAATTCTGAATTCGAGAAGAGTCCTGCTTGGGGTACCCCAATTTGTACTCCAATCTGTACACCGGCTGTGTACACAGACATTTGGACAGAAAGTCTTGTCATCTTTCAAACGAATTGCATGTGTACACAGACAATTCAGGGGGTGGGTACAAAATGAGGTACATTTTGGGGTACCTATAGAATTTTTGATTCGAGAAGCATGTACTTTTGAGTATTAAGTAGATTTAGCTGAAGCATCATAAATATTGATAAAATAGCAAAAGTATTATCTCTACGCTTTTTTAGGACAAAAATATGACAATTTTCATTTTTCTAACAATGTAACTAACCTTTGTTTAATTAATACATTTTTTAATTTCAATTATTACCCAAAAACCCACCGGTTCCTCGTTAATGTAAACAACAGATAACTTTAACAGAAGGACTAGATTAATAAAGATTAAATATATTAAGGATTAAAATGACAGACTTAATAGTTCGAGAACTAAAATGATATGGTGATGATAATTCAAATATCATTTATGCATTTACTCTATTAAATGGGATCTACAATTAAACTAATTCAAAACAGTACTTCTATACTTTTATTTGAAATGGGCTTATTAAATTCAACAAGAAATGGTTATTCTTCATTCAAATACTCCCTGCGTCTCATTTTACTTGCGTTATTTCCATTTTTGGATTATTCCAAAATAATTGTCATATTTGCCTTTTAGAAAGTAATATGAGGTCTACATTTCCCTATGTGTTCTATTGCGTGAATCAAGCCTTCTAAGCCCATCGAAGAGGTTTTACTTTTCAACCACTTTATTAATAATTGTATCAAACTAAAATAAAGCACATAAAATGAGACGGAAGTAGTATAAATAAATCAAGAAAATTGTATTATAAAATAAATTCTAAACTTATAAATTCTAATAAGTTTATTATGAACTTTTAATTCTTAGTTCATTTTTTCTTGATTAATAGCCTCATTTAATTCTTATCATTTTTTCTTGATTTTTTTTTAAATTTAAGTATTTTATGTTCTAGGTTGCCTTCTTTCTTGTCTTGTAGATGCACAAAACTTTTAAGTGGCATGTCACGTCTAGATTCGTTTAGGCGATATCTAGGGGCGGCCTTGGGGGGGGGGGGGGGTGCAACGGGGGGGACCGCCCTAGGCCTGAGAAAATAGGGAAGAAATAGGCCCAAAAATATTCCTTTGTATTTAGTCTGAGTAGACTTCTTTTATAAATTTTTAAGTTCAAATAATTGGTTCAAAGTTAAATTTTTAAAATAAATGTAAATTGACACGCCTCTCTTAATTCTCTTCGGATCTCTAGATTTTATAATCCCTTTAATTATATTACAAAATTACCAAGTTATATTAAGCCTCCCAAATCCAAAACTCCCAATTCGTAAAGCCCATCGAAATTGATTTGTTGTTCTCAAATTCCAATATCAACAAGAGTAAAGAACGCAGCAAAGCGGTGAGTGCCTCGGCGGTTTGTTAACAATTGAAGCCAACCAATCGAGGAGCCCAAACGGCGGTCGATGTCCAAAAACTTTTCTTTAAAGGCTTCAAACAATCCATCCGTGATCAATAAATTATTTTTGATAAAATGAGTGAGTTAGGTCAGGATAAAGAGAGAAAGACAAGAAGTTTAGAAAAGACAAAGTTAAGTTAGAAGGGGTCAATGGAAAGTTTTGTTTTTGTTGAGAAATTGAATCTTGAAAATTCTGTAAGAAACATTTTTAAGAAATGTTTTTCAAAGTTGAAGATTCTGATTAATTATATCGGATCAACTATGTCTCAAGAAAGGCTCGATGAGTTAGAAATTTTAAGCATTGAGCATTAGATATTTGAAAAGGTTGATTATGAAGCAATTATTGATGATTTTGCTTCACAATGTTCTGCGAGAAAGATTTTTAAATAATGTTTTTCTTTTTATGTGATACTTGTGTTGTTACTTTTCACCAAAATGTATAATTTAAATAATAATAATAGTAAAATGAGTTTCGTTTTTATTTAATTACCTTGATTATATAATTTATTATAATTATCATTTTAAATAAATATAGTTTACTCACTACAAGAATTGTTACATTTCTTGACACACATTTTTGTTGACACATGTAAAAATGTCATAATAACTACAATATATTGACACTTTTATGTGTCAAGAAAACTATTCAGTTTTTATTTCAGTTTATTAGTTTATATAATACTCCGTATTAACTTAACATAAATAAATATAACAATGGGAAAAAGCATTCCAGGTTTATTACTAAGTTGGAACTTTGCTGACATACATAGAGTACTACTTTAATAAAACAATAAAAAGGATTTAAACTAAAGAAAGAAAAAACGTGGATGGCTTCTCAAAATGACCTGACTACACACACCAAAATAAGGAGTCCCCAAAACAATCGCATCTCAATCCATCAGCTTTGGCTTCTCAACAAAAGCAGAACGCCGATCAACTCATTGCCGTCGCTGGCCATAACTACTGCTTCGCGTAGACGGAAGAGGAAGACTGGCCGGACTGACGAGAAGTAGGTTCAACTACCGGAGTGTTGCGATGCCGAAGGAGGGAGCTTGTTCTCGTTCTTCCTTATCCGCGGATTTGTGGCAAATCATCCGTCAAATTCGCTCCTCAACCGAATTTCTAGGGTTCATCGCATTTCAATCTGTTAATATAGCTAGCCAAAGTGGTATTACCTTCACTTTTCAATGATTGTTTAATTTTCAGCTAGAGTAATCTTGTCATTTGTTAATACGGACTAGTAAATTGATCTAATTGCCACTATAGTATCTATGGCTCTTTCATTTGTTGTGAGATGGATTGTCTTTTTACGGATTTCTATCCTGATGTGTTTGTATTCTTAATAATTTTATATATAAAGTATTTGACATGTTTTGTCTTCCTTATTTGATATATATGCAATGGAGTAGTCATATCTATCTAGTCTCCCAAAATTCATGGTTTATTGATTTAATTAACAAAACAAAATTATACTCCGTATTTATTTTTCATTAGTACCTTTATATTGGTTTATACATTATATATCTCGTTGACTAAGCTTGAAGCATCAATATTATTTTCTTTATGTAGGTCACCCTTCTCTCGATTCAATAGGATATCTAATTAGGATAGATTGTTTTAATAGAATGACCACTTTTTGAAATACTCAAAGAAGTATTTAGCAGGAACAACCCATAGATACCTCTATATAGTATATAGAAACAATTGATTTCTTTATTGTTTTTACTTATTTATGTTAAGTGGCATGTTACTAGAGAAAGTCTCAGTGATATGAATTTAACATAGTTTCCCCCAATTTTGGTCTGAACTTTTTTACTTGAATTGGCTTTTGAGGTTATTTTGTTGCTTTGATTTGTCGGAATCTAATGTTTGTTGATAAGAATCTCTGTATTTTTTGTGATTTTCTAGTTAAGTTCTACAGTTATATGTTTTGTTGCTTTGATATGTCGGAGTCTAATGTTTTTTGATAAGAATCTCTGTCCAGTTTTCCTCCACTTTCTTTTTAAATCTTTTGGCATCTTGACATCTTCTTAAATGCATAACACCTCGTACTGTAATATTCATTGAAACCATGATGATGTGTGTGAATGGGCAATGTTTCAGGGACAACTACAACCGGGAGAGTATTAAGCATGTAAAAGCCTTCCACTGTGGTGAGTTTGACGATTATATTAGAAAGATTGAATTGTCAAGAGATTTTGGTTTAACCAAAGATTTGAAGTGCAGACTCCAAAAAATGCTATTCTTCATGCTCTTGATCTTGAGAGGCAGTTGGTGCAAAAGAAACTTAAAAGGCCAGGTAGTATAATGTATATGAATATACGATTCATTGAAAATATAGAATAACAAATATTGCTATTTACACTTTTAATCAACTTATGAAAGGTTTGATGTCCACGGTTTTGTTCTCTATCTTGGTATGTATACTGATCTAGCTTATTTGGGTTTTAATATCTAGAAAACTATTTTGATTACTGAACAATAGCTATTTTGACTTTGTATTAATGATTTAATCTGGGCGTTAGTGATAAGGTTACCTCTTCCATTTTGCTAATGGCTCTATTCGTCCATTCACAAATGATTTGATGGAGATATATAATGTACTGCTATTAATAGGGATTCAGCTTTGAAGTCACACTGTATATAAGTTCTCTGTATATAAGATGTTCGATAAAATTCCTAAACCATAAAAAAAGTACGATTCTCATTTCACTCAGGCAACTCATATACAATTTTCCATTGCAGATTTTATGACTCCTAGAAAAAAACAATGTATATAGATAGAGATGCATATTCAGTAATGTTCAATTCTGTATGTTTATCAAAAGCATACTATTGTATACCTTTCATTTTAACCTAAACGAATCTATTAAGGGTTTTATTGGCTTCTAGGCAAACTAGTGATCCCACAAGTGGTTTTGCTACTATTGAGAAGGATTTCCTAGAAGTTTAACGCCGATGCTTGGTAATAGAAAGGTAATTTCTGAATTAGGCCGGTTTCGCTTCTCTAATAACAAATTCTTTGTGATTCATATAAACAGTTTACCGGCCTATGGCCAATATTCAGTTTGGATTAACCAATGTTCATGTGTGTGTTATAGTTTTTATTATCTTATAATACAGGTTGAACACTTCTTGGGCATAGAGAGGAAATATGAGCTGGGTGGGGGCTCTCTGCCTTGCAAAAGAAACCTAGAAATTGATTGGCTTGTGCTTGCAATGTACTTTCTGTTAAAGCTAGATTGGTTACAAGAAACTGGTGCTAAATTCTATATTATTAACTTGAAAGTCGTCCTGAATCTTGTCTCTAAACTCTATATGGGATGTATAGTACGTAGTATGACTTTTCTAGTAAGTCTGTGATTTTTCATTTCTCCAAATTCTAGTAAACAGAGGGTTTGTGGACATACTCTGATGTTCAGCCTCATCTTGAGGATCCTTTGTGACAAGTTTTCTTCATTTACACTTTCTATGATGAATCACTTTAAATATTTACGGAGTATGTTTTTTTTTAATTTGCTTCAAATATCTATTTTGGCTCTTTTTTTATTTTTAACAAGAGAGTGTTAAGTTCTATCCTACCCACATTTTGCAGATCATTGGCGGTGAACCGGCCCCTACAAAAGATAGATCATCAACCGAAAGTCATCAACCAAAAGGAGCTACTTAGAGATTTAGTAGATTTATTACATTGTTGTCTTGTGACTTTTTACTCTAATTTCCATGTATTGTAAACTTTGTTTTTATGGAATATTTTAAATATATTTAGTGACTTTCGATATGAAGTGATTATCCGGTCAACACATTCTTCTTACTAATGTCATCAATGTTAATTTTAGCTAGCATATTATGTGATAAAATAAGGGAACATGAATTTCGTTGACCCATGTGTCACCAAATACATTCCTTGACACATAAAAACGTTGGGGGCTTAGTACATTTCTTGACACACTTGTGTGTCAAGAAAAGTGTTAATAGATTTGCCAACACATGTCTTTGAGTGTGAAGAAAGGTTTTTCCTAACACCGTTCCTAATGACACTTTTTTTGTGTGTTGGTAAATCCTTCAAGGGGTCTATCTTGACACTTTCAAATTTTTTCTTGACACTTTTTGTGTGTCATAGAATGTCAGTTTGCTTGTAGTGACTATTTGTCTTGAATATAAGCCCAACAACACATTTAAAAAGCGGTTAACCGTGGTTACTCGCGGTTATACCCGTTATCTGTTGGGGCGGTTACGGTTTGGATAAAATTACACGTTGGATAATGGAGCGATTACGAGGCAGGAAAGTTACCCAATGGGTGGGTACAATTATATGCATAACCGTCTCCAATCCGCCCAATTGTCATCTCCATTTATAGGTAAACTAAACCAGATTCAAATGTGTATATTTATGGTTAAACTAATACATAATTCAAATGAAAAATTACTATTTATGATAGTGCATACTTGTGTTTCACATAATGCACAATGTCCAAATTCTACCCTTCAAAATCATTATCATTCTTTCTTTAGATCATGTTATCGTTCAAACCAAATTCTATGTAAAACAATAACAAATGCATCTAGTGCATTAAACTTGATCTAATGACTAAAACGCAAAAAAGGAAGAGATGAGTAATTAATTGATCTGCTGCAATCATATAAAGGTATATATAAGTTAAATTTCATAGTAGTGCATAAAAAAGAAGTAAAAGTAAATAATCTCCTTCCCTTGCTATTCTTTAAAGTTTAAAGTAAGGTCACATATTATCTAACCCTCCGTCCCAATTTGATGATCTCATTTCTTTTGGGCTCAAAGATTAAGGAAGTGGTTGAAAATGTAAGAGTTGTGTTTGGGATTTGAGTAAAAAAAGGTGAAATGATGTGGACCACATATTTCTTTCCAAAAAGGGAAATGGGACTATCAATTTGGGACGGCCCAGAAAGGAAATACGGGATCATCAAATTGGGACGGAGGGAATAATTAATCCTTAAATAAACCAAACAATGAGGATGGGAAGGTATTATATATAGAAATAGCTACATCATTAATTATCAATTGACTTTATAGACGGAGTGCTTCTAAGTTCTAACGTTTAATAATACACCAATAGTCTGTACTTAAGGCTGGCAATATCACCCGCACCCACGGATACTCAGTCAACCCGAACCGAAAATATGGATGCAAACCCAAAGAAGTATGGATGAAAAATGGATGACGGGTGGATCGAAAGACGGGTTGGATCGGGTGTGGATGAAGGCTCATCCAACCCATCACCCGACCCGTCACCCGTTCCATCCACTCACCCGCTGACCCGCATATAAATATATACTCCGTAATATATAATATATAATATATAATGTATAATATATCTATTTAATAATAATAATAATAATAAAAGTTAATTGGTGAAACAAAGATGATTGGAGGTACGTATCCGGTTAGCCGGTTAAAAAAGCCTCGTAGTAGTAATTGAATATCTTTAAGGAAAAAATATAATGAAAATTAAAATATACGGAGTATCTAATAACGAAAGTGTAACAAACAAAATAATATAAAGGAAGTATGAATTAAGTACGTAGTAGTATACTAGCAAAACAAATAGGAGAATCCTATATAAGGGTTTATTTGATATTTTTATATAAATTCGAGTGCCTATCTAACTCTTTTCCCATAAAAATAGGTACGAGTAGTTTTTATTTAATCGTTTAGAGGAATAAAAAAAATCGTCCAATATTTTTCCCTTAAAACTTCAATAGATTTTACTCCCGTTTTTTTTTACTTAAGAACAGTTATTCATTGATTGAGACGATTCATTCAGACCAATTTTAGAGTTACATTTCAAAAGATTGTGCCACTATACTGGGATTTCTTGATATCTTTAAGATATTTCAAAAAGTTTTACTCATTACTAGAAATAATTAAACTTCCTCTCCGATGTCCCAAATCCCAATACAAATATACGTAGTCCATAATTCCAAGGCTTGAGTTGATACAATTTTTTTAAGTTTCGATTTTGACCAGACCGATAGCATGGGAGTTTATTGAAATGTCTAAGTGACAGATTTTTTGTGAATGATGATCACGTCATATTAAAATCTGAGGAAATAATTTATTGATGCATTTTCATGATTAAGGATGTGATAAGACAACATATTTGCAAATTGTACTTAGTATAACCTGAAGCTAGGAATTAGGATGATTGGACCTGTCTTTTTTTTGCGTGGATTTGGAGGTAAAATCTACGGTGACGTTGAGAAACTTTCGCACTTTCCACTGTTTGGGCATAACCTTTTGCATCTACAACCACCTACCCTAAAATGATAATCTTCCTTGGAACTAAATGCTGCCCATCCTTTCAAGTCAGCCAATAAAGCCAATTATTAATGAATTAACTCGAAATAAAAAAAGATAGAGGGGCTTGGCGTGTGGAGATAGTAGCGATCGATGGATGATTTATATATGTACAAAAGTGAGGGGGACAAAGTGGGTGGGAAAATGGGTAAAATGAAAGCCCATATGCCACACCTTTGTATATAGTTTTCCCTTTGTGAAAAAGCTCCCCTATTTAGGTGCCTACAAATTAAATCTTCTTTATATATGATTGGAAATACTCCTAGCTCTAGATCAGTTCTTGTTAACTTTTAGTTGTGTTGTTTCACCTGAAACTCCATGCTTGAATTGGATTAGAGTGTGTGTCCTTGTAAGGTTGATCGTAAGGGTTGTGTTAATTAGAGTTAATGTAGCACTTGGAAATTGAAAAGGAAAAGATCAATAAACCCTTCAAAGATTGAGTAAAATACTCAATTTCTCATTCTACCCGTCATCATATTTGTTATCAAATTCATACAAAATTAAATTTACCATAGCCTATATCTTTTCCACCTTAAGTCTTTTTTATAGGGAAACATTCTCGAAATACGAGTAAATATGTTTTGAAATTTCAATATAAGATTGCTACCGTTTTTCATCCCGAATTATTAGTAATGTGACGGTATTTATGGTAATCTTGGATTCGTTATTGTCAAATATTTGCAGTACTAGGCATTAACGTGACATTATTTATAAATAATAACAGTAATAATTCATCGAAAAAAATATAGCAATTTTATTTTATCCAATTTCTTTTTCATCCAAGATTTCTAGGCATTTGAAGGAGAGGAAAGGAGGCCTTACTTTTCTGTGGCAAATGGTCAAGAGCAGCTCTAGGAATTCCATATTCTCGCTCTTGCAGATTGATGTGGGAGAGGGGCTCAGTTGTGTTCTATGAGTCCTTAAACTACATCTATATAGGGGGGGATTCCTATAGATGTAGAAGGATGTTGACTAACTACAATGGTGTCCAAAACTAACATTGTGCTCATTCCAAAGAAAGAGTAAAAGATATGATATCTCGATTCTACTCTTACATTATGAGCAACAAGAAAATTGTGCCATTATATTGACTACATATATACACCCACTCGGGTCAAAATCATCTACTAGAGCAAAAGGAGAACCCGATCCTCCACACGTGTGTTTAACTACCCCTATGGAGAACACTATAATGATCGAGTGACATTTGTATGAATTATATAACCTTCAAAAGCATATACTACGTACTAGGTATAATATGGGTTGAACTAAAAGCAAGGTTTTAACCCTAACACATGCCAATTAGTTATAACTAGTTGCATTTAATACAATGTTCATTTTTAGCTATATTATACATGCACTCTTTTAGTAATGAATGATTCAATTCCCTTCTCTTAATTAATACTCCGTAGTTCCAATAAGGAAATATATTCATTTTAGTGCTTTTCTGCAAGAGGCACAAGAACTCATTTTTTATTTATCATGCATTTGCTAGGAACTTAGCACAAATGTACTTGATCATTGAATAGTAATTTTAGGTTTGACTCACGAAATTGAGTAATAACCAAATTGCTTTAAGTTAGAAGTTATTTTTCTAACCGACTTTGCCGAATCAGCAAAGTGGAATGTTTAGCTTGTAAATTATTTTTCTTTATTTTATTGATAAAAGATTTTTATTTTTTAATAATTCGACAAATTTAACGATTTTATTAGCAATATTACCGATTTCAGCTCTCTCAATCAAATGAACTAATTCCACTGCTATCAACAAGCTTTATATCTTTTGCCTCAATCTTTGATTCATCTAGTTTTCTAATTGGTTTGTCCTCTTTTGGATTTAGAGCCCGTTTAATAGGATGAAAATCGGCTGATTTGGCTGATTTTGCTGAAATTTATGAAGTTATGTTTGAAGTGGCTGCATTAGCTAATTCTGCTGATTTAAGAAAAAATTATTTTTAAAATATATTTCATTAATAAAATAAAGAAAATTATATGTAAATATAGCTAAAATGGTCATCTACAATAATCTCAGCCAATACAGTCAGAAAAGTAACTTCAACCTTAATTTTTTTGCTTATAACACAATTCAGCGCGCGAAAGCAAGAGTTACGTGTTTGGTGAAAAAGTTGGCCGATAAGCCTGATAGGCCGAAAAATGCCAAATGTCCTCTTAATTAGTACCCCTTAGCCATTATATAGTGATTGTTGTTGTGAATCATGATTTAGAATGAAATCTATCCATCGTAAAAAGTGAAAAAATTACACTCCTAAATTGAAATTTGTAATGATGTTTATTTCAATCACTCTTTTGTAAGATCCACTGTAATTTATTTGCTTAAATCAGAGACAGAGATAATATGGTCATCATATTTATTGCGCCTTCACATTTTGGTCATTATATTCATCTTTATTTGTTTAGCCTAATATTTTGCACCTTCACACAAAGAAAACAAAAAGAAAAAAACAAAGACCGGATAAGCAT